TCCCAACCCAGGGATCGAACCCAGGTCTCCTGCACTGCAGGCGGATTCTTTACCATCTGAGCCACCAGGGAAGCCCCAGAATACTGGAGTGGGCAGCCTATCCCTTCTCCAGGGGATCTTCCTGACCCAGGAATTGAACTGCGGTCTCCTGCACTGCAGGCGGAGTCTTTACCAGCTGAGAGCCACCAGGAGCGAGAACCAGAGAACGTTTTTAGGGAAAATGTGATCTGTTTGGCAGCTCTGCTTGGTTGGTACAAAGAAATTGCTGAACTTTTCATGAACACATTCGTGCAATGAAGCTGGTTAGCTCAAAACATTTTGAGTTCCTCTCATAGCAGAGTAGGGCGCTAATACAAGAGAAAAGCTTGAAACCCCATATCCATGCACAGCTGAGTTCAGAAGGCTCCATTGTTCGTTGTCCTAACTTAGATATTCATGTATTCAAGTACTCACTGTGCATCCTCTTCTGTGTTCCAGACACACTGTTCCAGCCACCGGGGGCACAGGGCCTGCCCTCACCCAGCTCACGTTCTAGAGGGTGCTAACAGGACAGATTAAGAAAAGGTGTCATGTGTTAAATAAAAAGAGTAAAGCCAGAAAGGACTGGGGGGTGTGCACACACATGTGTTGGTTGTTGGCGTTGAGACAGATTTTAAAGGGTAGTCAAGAAAGGGCTTTCTTAATTCTGTTTACCTTACCCAGCCATATGCAACACACTTCAAGGATACACATGTTTAGGTTAAAATTATGAGCTCTTTAAGTATATAGACTCCCCTAATTGTGTCAATTCCTCTTGGGTTCATTGTGTCAATTTATCTTGCTTTTAAGCCGAAATGTCAGATTTCATTATCTAGTGAGGAATTTTTTATGAGTCAGAGTCATTTATTAACGTATGTGTTCAAGTGAAAATGGTGTTCCCCAACTCCTAAGGATGTGGAGGCCGCCTGGAATCCTGATGGAGGAAGGAGAGGATGCCTTTCCATTTGGATGCCCACTGCTCTGCTCCCGGAAGCTCTCCAGTTAAAACCATGGCCCAAGGCTGCCTCCATGGGCACCTGGACGGAAATTTCCGATTATGTAAACCTGAAAGGGGCTTATCTCTCATCTGAGTTATGATCACAGGATATCCCCCAATCTAGAACCGGAGGCAGGACAGTAATTTCCATTTCTCATGAAAGTGTAAAAAAGCTACAAGTAAGCCTGAATTTGTAGTAAACATTGTTTTAGCATGTATCAAAGGGCAAGGGGGCTGCTCTGGGCAATGGTGGATTAGGTAACTCAGCATTTCTGTTGTAGGATGTCTCTGGCCCTGAGCTGTTGCGTATTTGCATCTCCAAGAGGAGGCAAGAGTTGACAGCGCTTTGGTAACAGATGGCTCTGGGCCCATCAGACTGCACCTGGCCCACTCTCGGCATGGGCCACACTTGACAAAGAGTGTTTGACTCTTAGGCTGAAGTCCAGAGCAGCCCAGGACAGGGACTGAAGTCGTGGTGATTGCAGGAAGATGGGTGGGGCGGTTAACGGAGGCAGCGGGAGGTTGCAGGTTAGGCGGGGTGGGTGTGAGGTTGGCTGACAATGTCTCTTCCAATATCTGAAGGGTAGGAAAGGAAGTTGACTCTTCAGTCGGGGGGCAGGATGAGAACCGGTGCTTAAAAGCGACTGGAAGGCATTTTGGACCCAATCCAAAGTAGAGGTTTTTTTCTGAAGACGGCTCTACTGTACAGACTGACTCTGCATTCTTGGAAGGCACAGTTTTTGGGTGGCGGTGTCTCAGGAGGTATTGAAAAGTGTTCTTTAAAATCCCATCCAACCCTGAGTCTATGAATCTGTGATTATTTTCTTTGGCAAAAATTTGCTTCCTCAGGCTTTTTTTTTTTTTTCCCCTCAGTCTTTTGCTAATTCCTGTGGAGAGTTTACAAAAGCATTAATAATATGTGGTTTGTGTAATTTGTTAATTGAATGACAAGACGAACACATGAGACAGTTGTTAGCAAACTAAGACAAAATATAAACAAAAGGCACATTTTTGAATACCACAGAAATCCTAGAAGGGGAAGACTGGAGAAGTATCTACACTGGGGTTTGAAGGATTAATGAGATTCGCAGGGCAGCAGGGAGAGCAGAAGCCCAGGCACGAAGGCCAGAGATGCAGAAGACCTTTGAGGAGGATATATCTGTATATCTGTAATTAAGAAAGACCTGCCCGGCAGCTTTGTGTAGGAGATGAAGACTTGAGCGCCATTTTCTTAAGAGCAATTGTTTAAGTTGTGTGGGTGTGAAATCTCTGAAGAACAGGTGGCTAGAACACGGATGAGCACATTCTTAAGCTTAGCGGTTAGCATAGAGCGCCTGGTTCAGATCCATCCCTGTGACCTGGGAGAAGCACGGTGGAGAAACCGAAGCCTGGCAGGCAGCGCTGAGTTGGGTAGTGTTAACTTGCCTCTTAAGCTATGAGGATTAAGTGAGATAAAGAATGAAGTGCTCAATATATGTTACTCACTATTACTGATTACGCAGCTGAAGCTCCCTGAAGGGGCGATTCTGGAAACCTGCTCCTGCCCAGCCACACTGGTGTCGCCTGTGAGCTTGTTACAAGTGCAAGTTCACGAGCGCCACTCAGACTTAGTGAATTAGGGTTGCAAGGGGGGGTGTAGAAACAGGCTCTCCAAGCGATCGGCAGGGAAATGTTTGCGAACAGCCCTAGGGGAATCCTACAGAACTAAGAAAGGGAGAGAGTTCTTTTTCTCTCGTTTATTTGTTTTTAATTGAAGGATAATTATGATATTGTATTGGTTTCTGCCATACATCAACATGGATCAGTCATAGGTCTAGAGTTTTTTTAAAGGGGGGCTAACAACAGTGTCCTTCACAGTGGAAAGGATAAAAAGCTCAGAGAAGATGAAATTTGGGGGAAAAGAGGTAGTGTGTATTTTTTGCAGTGCCTGACAGCTTTACACACAGTGTGCAATAAATATTTGTCTTTATATATTGAAGACAGCTGGTTTAATAGTATGCTGGGGATGGAAGGAAGATTTAGTGTAATATGTATAATATACATAATATATAGCTATAGCCTAAGTGATTTAAAAAAAAATACTGCAGAACCACGTGAGAAATACGATGTTGGATGAAGTTTAAATCTTAGGTTTAACTGCCTGCCTACTGTGACCAGGCAAGGTGCTCTCTGTTGTAAATAGAAAGTGAGATGCTGCTCTTGTTTTCCGAGGCTTCACAGCATTATACTTTCTTTAAGGATTTGAAGCTGTTCCTCTCCCCGACCACCCCGGTAACTTTATTATGCTACAGAGAGTTAACCCTGTGTCTGATCTCTCTGGCCAAGAGTTAGGCATGCCCTTGTCTTCCGGTCACTGCCAGGCCTAATCTGAAACTGCCCCCTCATTTCTGAATATTGACTTCTTTTGTTAATGATTTGACGGCTCTGGGTTTACCTTAGAGAAGATCTGAAAGCTTCTTTGTCCCCGGTTAACGTGGGCCACCTGGGGTTCCCCCATTAAGCCTCGTGCCAGTTGACTTGTCCCTGTCCTCCCCCCCCGCCCACCCCATCGCCAGCACAAGCACCAAACACAGTAGCTGGAAGTAAATTGACTTCTACGCTTCATCCATTTAGTCCTTATTTACTGCCCATTATGTGTAGGACACTGTGATAATAATGAGACAGTGTCCACAAAATGTGTCTTGCTGAAGAGCCAGGACCGCCCGAGGCTGTGTGGATTGAGTCTGGAGGAGAGGCAGGGGCTGTCTGTTGCGTACTTGCCTGGAGCCTGGTTGGAGGTCAGCCAAGTGTTCAGACGATCCCGAGCACACGCCAGAGTCCAGACTTAGAAACGTGCCGTCCCCTCAGACAGCCCCTCTCCCGGTGACTGGTGAGGGAAACGTGAGTAAATTAGAATGGCTGGTGAAGAAGCTATGTTTGTAAACCTGACAGTTTCTTTCAAATACGTAGCATTTGAGATTGCAGCCGGAGGACAGGAATTACACTGCTGCTGCGGCTGCCGAGTCGCTTCAGTCGTGTCCGACTCTGTGCAGCCCCACAGACGGCAGCCCACCAGGCTCCCCTGTCCCTGGGATGCTCCAGGCAAGAGCACTGGAGTGGGTTGCCATTGCCTTCTCTGACAGGAATTATACTAGAGATAGGCTAATTTCATGCTGTAGAGAGACTTCAGGAAAACCCGAGGGGAGATCGCTTTCCAAAGATGATGGTGATTGGGCAGTTAATCTGTTGAGTATATTTTTTTGTTTGTTTTGCTTTGTTTTTATTGAGCTATAACTTGCATATAACATTATTTTAGTTTCAGATGCACAACATAATGGTTGGATGTTTGTATGTATAGTGAAGAGAATCTGTTTTAATTGACACCCGGATCAAGCCAGTTGCTCCTTTTCCATTGCTCTGAACTTTGGGGCTGAGGCGGATGGATAGTGAGGACTGCTAGCATTTCATTATCTTCTTCTCTCTCCAAATAGTACCAGAAAAAAAAAAAAAGGTAGCTGGAACCTTCATCACCGCTTTTAAAAGGTAGCCAGGACCAGACCCACATCTAGGTGATTCCAGAAGGCAGGGCAGTTGGTGGTCTCCTTTCTGTGAGGATAACCAGTCTGAGAATGTGAATTTAAAAAGAGTAGAGATCTTTTTCAAAATGTTTTAATTGATCCAAAAGGTCTCTCTGATCATATCAGGGCTAGACTATTGCTTGGGTATTTGAAGATCAGGTAGAATATAATTTTTTAAAGCTGTCGAATATGGATAGATATTCCCCTCAGGCCTACTAGCTACCCAAGGAAGATCAGTGTCCTGAAAACTTAGAACTCAGTATGGAAGAGAGAAGTGATGGCCTTGTAGAATCTTAGCGCCTAAAGACTTTTCAAAGAGAAAAGGGGGAAGAAAGGAAAGAAGCTCAGAGGAATGTGGGTTTTTGGTGTGTTTTCTGTTACTGACTCTTGTGAATTAACCCCTTTTCCCTCCCCTTCTGTTTCTGCAGTGAACACCTACCTCTTCATGATGCAGGCCCAAGGCATCCTCATCCGGGACAACATGAGGACCATCGGCGCGCAGGTTTACGAGCAGGTGGTCCGGAGCGCCTATGCCAAGAGAAACAGCAGTGTGAATGACTCGGGTACGTTTTTAGTAAAGAGGGGGTTTGCTCAGAATGTCTCCTCCCAGAAGAGGGAGATGTGCTTTGAATAATTCTCTTCGATGGAAAAAACGTGCATTGTGGAGGAGGAAAGGTTTGACTGAATCTTAGGTTGTCATCAAAAGAAGCTCTTGCCAAAGGAATCCTTGTTTGTTCTGTGGACAGTATGTTCAGGGTGACCGGTTGATTCCACTTTCAATTCATGAAGAGTATCTTTCAAGAGCCCCCTTTTTGTGTAGTTGCCCTAAGTAGGCAGATTAAGCATGTATCTTTAGGACACCAGAAAGGCAGGAGCACCAAAAACATTTTGAAAATAATTTGATTTCAAAAAGTACATCCATACAGCCAGTGAGGAAAATACAGGCTGGTTGGACTTGACCTGCACTTATTTTATGGGTTAACACTGCGGTTCGTTAGTTTTGTTTTCTGCGTTCCATGTGGTGGTGGTGGTGGGCCCATGGTGCTTTCAAAGCTAATCTGGTCCTGGCGGCCACACAGGAAGAATTGCACCATCTCGTTCCTACCGTCAGATGCTGCTTGAGCTTGGCCAGCCCAGTAGGCCTGGTTCACCTTGTTGTGTCTAAATGCTTTAGTTGAAACGTAATAAACTTCCATTTCATAATCATCAGGCAGTCTGGGACAGTTTCCACAAATTACAAAAGTGACTTTAGGAAGAGAAATTGAATGGATCACCTAGTTTGCCTTCCTCAGTCGGGTGTGATTTTCACCCGGTGGTTGAATGCCAGTTGCGTGCCCGTGTTTGGTGGTCAGACTCATTTACTTTGAAGAAGGCTTTTCAGATTATTCAGCTTAGCAGCAGCGATGGACCACAGACTGAACATTTCTGCCTCAGTTTTTGGAACTTGGTCCTGTAGTTTTTATTATCTTTTAAGCGCTAATTATGTAACGAGAGAAAAAGAGCACCAAGGTTAGATGGCTTGCCTAACATTGTATTGTTAGAACTTGATCCTGAATTGTGGGTTTGACTTTAGCTATTTTTTTACAGAAGACTATACATAGCAAGTTCTTTTTGAGAGAAAGCTGTCTTTTTTTATGTCTGTCTTTTTAACTCTTCCAAAAATTGAACAGAGGAAATATTTCCAGATGGTTAAATGGGTCTGTCGTGAAGCATCTACAATCTCCAGCCAGGGATGGTTTTTATTAGAAAACGGATTTTGAAATTTCAGTTTACTTCGAATTCATGATTTATCTCTTATTTCTTTAACTGGGGACTAGTGTGCTTTCCCTGTGGCTTCTCACTGATCTCACTCAAGCCTAGAATTATAAAATACATACTTTTTAAAAATACTTTGCTCCAACTCAACCCTTTGGTCCTCTCTAGTAAGTTGTAAGATTATCCGGAACTCACTGCTGAATGTGAAATTGCTTTGCAAATGTTGCAAATGAGAATTCTTCTGTGCTGTTGGGATCTCAAGAGAAAGCACTACCTCTGAAAGGGAAGTTAAATCCTGAGAAGAACTGACCATGTCCTAATGTATCAGTCTGCCCCGCTGACCAGTTTAGCAGTAACCAAGCACCACAGTTAGCAAACTGATAAGCTTCGATACTTGCTTTCTTCTTGCACGCATGCTAAGTCGCTTCAGATATGTCTGACTCTTTGCCACCCCATGGACTATAGCCCGCCAGGCTCCTCTGTCCATGGGGATTCTCCAGGCAAGGATACTGGAGTGGGTTGCCATGCCCTCCTCCAGGGGGTCTTCCCACCCGAGGGATCCAACCTGTGGTTCTTAGGTCTCCTACATTGGCAGGTGGATTCTTTACCACTAACAACCACCTGGGAAGTCCTCCTTTCTTCTTAAAAGTTTGCAAAGAGCATGCCATCAGCTTTTCAGACCTTTGCAGCCACATTGTGGCCTGGCAGGACAAATGGCCTGAGGCCTGCCCCATGCCTAGAAGAGGGGTCACTGTAGGTCCTGAAGTCAAGGGAAAAGGTGAGCACAGTTCATCATTTATGGCGCTCAACTTGAAAAGGATCCCACACACATCGCCTCACTTGACTTGGGTGTGGTTCCGTCGGGTAGGCAGGATTTTACTTCCATTTTTTACGTGTACGTGTAATTAATCTTGCGAGTGTTGGCGTGGTTTGGTCATGTGACTTTCCCTAAATCCCACCCCAAACCTGCTTCTGGTTGTGTGATGACTTTTGACTGAAGGATGAAGCCGTTCAGAGCTCTTTCCCCCTGTGTCACTCTGGATAACGAAGCGTGTACACCGTCCTGACCTTTACCCCGTCCCAAGTATTCAGGCCTCCAAGGGCAGAGCATGCTGGGGCTTCTCGCTGGGCCATTGACTAGCTGGTCTGTTTTCTCTCAAAGTTAGAGGGTGTGTGAGCAGGTCTCTGTCCCCCTGCCAATGCCAGTCTTGCAACACAAGCTCACGTTAATTCCCTGAGGGGTCGTCATCCTAGAAGCTGAGCGGAGAGTGAGTGAGCCTCTTGGAAGGCTTATCCAGGGACCCATTATTATTTGAATTTGCATGTGTTTATCTTCAAATTATCACCCACTAAAATAATTCTTCCCAGCATCACTTGGGTCAAACTGGTTAATCATCCATTTTGAGTTTAACATGTCTCTTTTTCTCTTAAATTGTTAAGTCTTTGTCGTTGGGAACCTGCTCATGATGGAGTTCACACTTTGTTTGCATTATTTCATGGGCTTCTTAAGAGAGCTCAGGAAGATAACTGCCGCGTCCCCATTTTAGGGGCAAAGGGATCGGCGCACACTCAGACTCTGCACTGTGGTGGGCTTGGCACTTGCTGACCTCTGGACCCCAGCAGCGCCCCCCTTGCCTGTGTTGTCTTTGGACCCCTGTGCCTGGTACCTACCTGGCACACAGGAGGCACAGTAAATGATTTTTGAGTGCACGAGTGGGTAGATTTAACAAGGAAACCCACCTTTAGGTGTTGTAATCTAGATCTGAGATTACCATCTTGATTCGCTTCTGTGTTATTGGCACTTCCTTGATGACTAAGTGTTGAAGAGGAAATATCATTTCATTGGAGGTTATCCAGTAAAAGCCAACTCTTTTTTAAAATTCATTTCAAAGTAGTTTTCTGCCTAGCACAGTCAGAGCGTTTGGGACCTAAAGTTGCTGAGATAGCCAGATGACCATCACTGCTGACCCAGCCACTCTCGCCAGGAGCTTGGTGAGAGTAGCCTGGCTGAGATAGTTCGTGAACTGTGTTGACCCACCCTGAAAAAAGTGCTGTTGAACACATCCACGTTCAGAGATCTTCAGGAGGCCAAGTGTGGCTGAAAAGCTTAGTGTATCGTTGGTAATCCAGCTTTCTTCACCCTTGAAAGCAAACAAGGCTACTGCCTAAAAAGAACGTACCTTAAGAGATCAGGACCGTGACCTGGAAATAGCCTGAAATAAGGGCTTCCCTGGTGGCTTAGTGGGTAAAGAACCTGCCTGCAATGAAGGAGACCCGGATTTTTTCCCTGGGTTGGGAAGATCCCCTGGAGGAGGAAGTGGCCACTGCCCCAGTTGCCTGGAGAATTCCACAGACAGAGGAACCTGGTGGGCTACAGTCCATGGGGTCGCAAAAAGTTGGGCACGACTAAAATGACTGAGTATGCATGCAACAATGTGGAGAACCTTCTTGTCACCGAAAGCCACTGGTATGTGAGATTGCGAGTCTGGCACGGTTTACTCTGAGTGGTTGAGAGAGATGCTCAAGAGACTTTTGGCATCAGGAGAGAATTCTCTGGGTTCATCCAGGTCAGCCACTTTAGTTGTGTGTTTGAGGTGAGTGGTGGGGTGGCCTGGCATTTCTCATTCTTAAATACAAATTTCCAGGCACCATTCTACCCAGAGAGACAGTTCTTCCCTCCGTATACACGCACATACACACCAACCTCCCCACACTGATGACCTGAGTCCCCTTCTGGTCACGTACTCAAAAAAACGTCCTGTTGCCCACATCCTTCAAAACAGGTCTGTTGTTATAGACAGATAAAGTCATTGCCAGGATGTTTTGTACTGTATTCAAGGAGGTGGATATTCTTAACCTCTTTGTCTGTGGTTTTTGGGTGGTCAACCCATAGTCGTAATGTCTCCTGTCCCAGCCGGTAGTCATTCTTAAGTGGGCTAAATCCTGAAGAATGCAGATCCTTTGTATATTACAAGTACTTGTAAAGATGTCCTGATGACATCTTTCTAGTGTGTGTGTATGTGTATTTTTTTCCCCCACTTTTTCAAACAGAGGCAGCTGTTTGGCCTTTTCGCAGATGGGAAGAGAAGGTAGTGAGTCTTCCTGGATCTGTTGATCAGCGCTTTGAAGGCCCTACTCAGCTGGATTTGGTAATTTGAGGGAGAAAGCAGAATTTTAGTGCCCCCACATATTGGGGTAGCCACAGAAACCTGAGGGCATGTTGGACTTCCCTCGGGGCTTTACAAAATACCGATGTGCTGCTCCTCACGCCCAGAGGTTCTTATTTAGTAAGTCTAGTGTATAACCTGGGCACAGGGATATTTAAAAAGCTTCCTAGATGATTCTAATATTCGGCCAGGACTGCTGAACCACTGATGTAAAGCAGAGTTGACCAAGTAGGCTGTTTGAGTCTACAGGTGGGAAGCATGTCCTCTGTTATAAATGTAAAAACAGTTGCCTTCTTTGCTGTCTACCTCCCTTGCTGGAAGAACATGTTCTGGTTCAATATGGTTTAGATTTAAATTAAAAAGTAAAACCATGGCCATAGAAATTCAGCAGGCTGGCCTTTTCTTTCGATTCCCTCATTCAGTCGGGTTGTACTTTAGAAGACCAAGAAATTGGTGTTTGGAATCCCTGAGGAGAGTAGGCAATATATTCCGCCCATTTCCAGGCAGCTGGAGGAAGACCCCACAATAACCAGGCACAGGTTTTACCATGGCGTGCGTGTGTCTGTGCGAAGTTGCTTCGGTCATGTCTGATTCTTTGCCATGTCATGAGCAATTAGTTTTCTCTGCCTGTTCCACTTTAAAAGGCTTCTACTGCTAGTGGGAAGGTAGATTTTGTTTAAATTTTTACATAAAGAATTGAAAATTACAACTGATGCACTTACGGTTTGGTGGGGCGGGGTTCTCCGAGATGGAGGGCGAGGTTATGGACTTTCACTTAGGACTTGGATATTTGAGGTTTTCTTTTTTTTTAACAATGACATTATTAGTTTAGTAGCCAGAAGAAGAAAATAAGTGGTCTTTTGTTTCCTGCTTGCTGCTGATGAAACAGGAGGGAAGGAGGCAGGGCGCAGCCTTTAAAAGAAGTTGCTGTTGAATCTGACATAAACTGGTTAGAACCAACTAGATCCAAGATGGTGGATGAGTCGACTTCTAGACCTTGCACCTCAGTGAAGTTCATTGTAACCTGTCGGCAAGCTAAAGGACAAACCACAGGTACCATGACAGTGCTGAGGCTGACCATAAAAGGTCGAAAAGGGGGTGGTGACCCAGTTCCTGAAAATCTCCGCCCCTTCCTGAAAGTAGTTGCAATAATCCTCCCACTCATTAGCCCATGAAATACCAAGCCCATAAAAACTAACCACCACGTATTTTGGGGCCTCTCATCTTCTGAGATGGGACTTGCCTGGTGGGTCAGTGGTAAAGAATGTAGGAGGCTCAAATTCAGTCCCTGGGTTGAGAAGATCTCCTGGAGAAGGAAATGGCAACCCACTCCAGTATTCTTGCCTGGGAATCCCCATGAACAGAGGGGCCTGGTGGGCTACAGTCCACGGGGTCACAAAATTGTCAGACACAGCGAGCAACTAAACGACGACGACAGATGTCAAGGTCATCAACCCATCGTGTAATCAGGCCTCAGACTTGCACAGGCAGCTCTCCCCATAGGAGTGCTGTATGCGGTGCCTCGCTTTCTTTATCTGTAAAGAGATAAGAGATTGGAAGACCCTCTTCATGCCTCCCTCTAGAAGAAAGGCATTTGCAATAAAGTTAAAACGTCACTGAAATAACAGTAGCTACTGTGTGTATGTCCACAAAATGAGAAATGAGAAGCACAAGAAAGGAGACCACCTCAAAAAATTATGGAAGTTGGAAAGCAGATGGACCAGTGATGAAGGACTTGACAGACCCAAGAAAACTCACTGCTAATGTGCAACCACCCCGTAGTTGATAGCCTCAAATCGCTCAGAAGCTCAGAAGTTTAGAATATCAGGTATTTCTGGAGATAAAAATAAAGGTGGCAACTAAGATAAAGATGGGTTGAAAGCTGTTTAAAAAGCAGTCCGATATTCCATCCCCCAACCTGGCAAAGTACTGGAGACTTGATAACCTCCAGCCAGAGATCGTAAAACAGCCTGTCAGCTGGGGCACCTGACTTTTTTTAAGGTGCCCCCAGCTTTTCCTCCTCCTGTTTCAGGATGCTTGTAACAAAGACTGTACCATTCTGGCATGAGATTAGAATGACTTCTCTGGGGAACCTGACCGGACCAAGAAGAAAGACCCAAAGATACTGACCCTGGAGGTTTCCCATCCAAACCTCTGACCAGAACACTCTCCAATGAAGAACCTCCATCCAGACCCTTCCAGTTAGCTGATTCCGAGCCCCACTCTTAAATATTAGCAGATGGCCAAGCACCACTGTGCTGGCAATCAAAACAAGTAACAAATTGGAAGAAACAATATGCTGGGAGGAGAAAACTTAACCATCACATATGTTCTCAAGGGTCAGAGGAAAAGGATTGTAAACATGGAACAAGATACTGAAAAAGATGAACATTTGGAAAATTAAAGGGACACTTGGAAATTAAAAAAAAACATAATAGCAGGAAATGATAATTAAAAAGGACTAGATACAATTGAGGAAATCTCTCCAAAGGTAGAGCAGAAAAATGGCAGGATAGAAAGTCAGGTAGAAAAGATGAGAAAATTATAGGGCCAGGAGGCCCAACATCTAAGTCATATTTCTGTCCTCCAGAAAGAGAGCCCAGAATACAGAAGGCAGGAAATCATCACCACAGTGATACCTCCGAAAAATTCTTGAATAGGACTTGAATCCCCAGACTTCAGAGGCTATAACATTGCCAACACAGTGGAGCAGACACACCAATATCAATTTTCCTGAACAAAGAGAAAGTTCTTCACACTTCCAGAAAGAAATTACTGTCACCTTTTACAAAGAACAGGAGTTGGAATGACTTTGGACTTAACAGGCCCAGGGGACTCTAGAAGGAAGTGGAACAGCACCTTTACAATTCCAAAGGAAAATTTATCTCCAGCCTAGAATTCTGTAAAACCCATGTATCAAGTGAGGAAGAATAAAAATAATCAGATATCCAGGGTTTCATAATCACTTCCGTTTCCCCACTTTTAGGAAGCCACTGGAAGAATGTGCTTTACCGAGGGAAAACAAAGAAGTTGAAGTTAGGAAAACTGAGGTTTGACACTCTCGGGAGGTGAATGGACTCCCCTGGCCACTGATGAAGGGACATCCCAGAGTAGCACTAGTGGATCACACTCCCAGGAAAACCCGTCCAGACTGAAGTGGGTTGGGAGGCACTGGACCTTCTTAGCAAGAGGAAGACCCGATGCCTGTGTCTCGAGGGGAAGTGAAGTGGCAAAGGGCAAAACATCCACTTGTCATCATTCCACGTAAAACTAAGCAAACAGGAAAACAAGACAGTTACTCCAGGGCGGGGGGGACAATTTGCAGGAAAGGAAACGTAATCATCCTTTCCACATTTCTCAGCAACAGAGAGTGTTTATTGAATCTTCATCATAAAAATACTGAAGATTGTCCTAACCACAATTAGCGTGTGTGACTGTAGGGATACTGGAGGATAGGAAGGGTATGTCTGTGGTGGCGGCAGGGGAGGAAGGGTACGAAAACTTCTTCCCCCATAGTGAGAAGTTAACAGACCTAAAAACGAAGCATCGAGATCAACTGTATACCATGAAAAGGAACAAAACTGTGCCATCTGCAGAGACGTGGATGGACGGAGAGACTGTCATACAAAGTGAAGTCAGGCAGAAAGGAAACAAAGTGTCATACATTATGAACACACATACGTGGAATCTAGAAAAGAATGGTACTGATCTTATTTGCAAAGCAGAAATAGAGACACAGACATAGAGAATAAATATATATGTACCAAGGTGGGTGTGGGGTGAATTAGGAGATTGGGGATTGACATAGATACACTATTGATACTATGTATAAAATGGATAACTATTAAGAACCTACTGTTTAGCACAGGGAACTCTCATGCTCTGTGGTAACCTAAGTGGGAAGGAAATCCAAATAAAAAGAGGCGATGTATATGAACGGATGCCTGGTTGACTTTGCCGTACAGCAGAAACTGACACAACATTTTAAAGCAACTAGACCGCAATAAAGAAAGAACACCCCCCCAAAAAAAGAAAAGATGGGCTGTGTAGGCTGATGGAGATAAATACTAAGGTATATATATATACATGTTAGTTGCTCAGTTGTGTCCGACTCTTTGCAACCCCATGGACTGTAGCCCGCCAGGCTCCTCTGTCCATGGGATCCTCCAGGCACGGATACTGGAGTGGGTAGCCTATCCCTCCTCCAGGGAATCTTCCCAACCTAGGGATCGAACCCAAATCTTTGCATTGCAGGCAGATTATTTACCATCTGAGCCAGCAGGGAAGCCCAAAATACTAAAGTAGTTGACTACGAGAAGTGAGAACATTTCATTTCAGAAAGACATGGAGGGCGTGCTGGTTTCTGTTTTTTAATTATGTTGTGGGGTTGTTTGACTATGAACTGACTGCATATAAAGCTATAATAACAGTAAGAATAGAAACACCGGTGAAATAGTATCATCTGATTAACATTTCTATTGATGTATTCAAATTTTAGCTGAAGGGCTAAGTCAACATCCTGCCTCACCGAAAGATAATGACTTAGAAAAATCCTTGTTTGGGGGGCATCTGAGAATTGCAGAGATGATGATTTAGACCCATCGGAGCTGCCTTTTCTCTTCTTTCCTCTCTAGATTATCCTCTCGACTTGAACCACAGCGAATCCTTCCTACAGACCACGACTTTTCTTCCTGAAGACTTCACCTACTTTGCAAACAATACCTGTCCCGAAAGGCTCCCTTCCATGAGTGAGTACAGTGCTTGCTTGTCTTCCTCTGCTTCTAAAACCAATGACCTTCTATTTGATTAAAATAAAAGGAAGAGTGTTCTTGATCTCTCGATATGTCTACTTATAGAGAGATTTTGAACGCCTCCTGGCCCTCGGAAATAGGAGCTATGAAGGTTACACGTGTCCTGGCTCCTCTCCAGCCCGTCTGCAGGGTTGCCTGTGTTCCTGGTGCCATCTTCCACCACATTTTTCACTCTTTGCTTTACATGTTCCACTTCCTTTGTAACTTGAGGTCTGTTAAGATATCCTTGAGAAAGTGTAGGCAACCAGCTTCGTCTTTTACTATAAATCTCACACTGATTGTATAATTCCCTCATTTAATATGAGGGAAGTTATTTTCTTAACAAAGTGCTGGTTAAGAAAAATTCTTGCATGTTTTCTTTCTCTTCCTTTTTCCTCGTCTTCTTCCTCTTCCATTCCCCTTTCCTTCTTAGAATGTGTGTAATCTAAAGCAATGACAGTGTACTGTTATACCTTTCCTGTGCTTTGGGACTTCTTGGACTGTCTTCTTCTTGACTTGAGTTCAAGATGATGCGTGTTCTGAGTTTGGCCATGACCTGTCGGGGTCATTGACCAGTAAATTGGGACAGCGTGTCTGCACCCGCCTCAGGAGCGCACAGAGATGCTACCAAGCTCAGCTGCTCTCCTCCTTCCTCTTTGAGAAGTTCAGCTGCTGTTGTCCTTGGTCTTCATTTCTTTCTACATCCTTGGCAGAAGCAGAACTCCCAAGTCTTTATTTCTTGATTTGCCGCTTCACCCAGTAATAGGGATGAACTGAAACCCATTGGGTTGGGAAGCAGACGCAGGGACCCCCATCCTTGTTAAAAAACACAACCCACTGAAAAAGCACTGAACCACTCCAGAGATTACAACCCTGAACGTAGGAATTTCGTTGCCTCTTACTGTCTTTTTTCCCCCCATCTCTGTTCAGAGGGCCCGATAGACATAAACATGAGTGAGATTGGAATGGATGCCATCCATGAACTCTTCTCTAAAGACCCAACCATCAAGCTGGGCGGTCACTGGAAGCCGTCGGATTGCGTGCCTCGATGGAAGGTAGGGGTGGGGTCAGACCCCACGTGCTGGGAAGCCTACCTGGCACTTGCCATCACCATGGATTTCACTCTGACATTTTGTAATTTGTACCCTACTTATCACTTACTACAAAGGATTTGCATCTGATGGGAACATATTGGAGGAGTGGGTTTCCTTGAAGACTCTGCTATAGCCGCAGACATACACATTGTTCTGGTCACTGAACCAGGACCCTTTTCCTTCCGTCCAGGAATATTGGCTAAGCAGTGGAGGAAGGGGGGGAGGGTGGGTCTCCCCTGATAGATTTGCAGAAGCCATCTTCACAAATTCAGCACTTTTATTTGGTATTGTTGCCATGAATCTAGTGGAGTAAAAAGCGGAACTATCTAGCCTGATACTGAGAATTGTTTGTTTTTTTTTTTTCCTGCATGACTGTAATCAGGAGACATCAGTAGTGTGGCTCAAGCTTATGACACTGACTTAAGTCAATTCTTTCAACAAGTGTTTAGTAAAGTGCTCACTCCATGCCAGCCCTGTATAGTGCAACAGTGATCAGAACAGATCTGGAACAAAGTAGTGTTTCCACCCTGTCACTGGGATGTAAAATCAATTTAATGACCAGCGTTAAATATATATAAATATATATATATATATATATATATATATATATATATGTTTTTTCATGTCAGCTAAAAGTATTCATTTAGTATATGTGCTCATAATATGGGACTTCCCAGGTGGCTCAGAATCCACCTGCAATGTGGGACAACCCCTGGGTCAGGAAGATCCCCTGGAGAAGGGAATGGTTACCCACTCCAGTAATCTTGCCTGGAGAATAAACAAGACACAGAACAAAGGCTTTGCTCTGATATAAAGAAGTGTTAAGACATCTCACCTACCCTCCTAATCTCAGTCTAGTGGTTGGGACAGGCACACCCACATTGTTCTAAAACAAGCTACGCTAGAATAAACAGGAGATACTATTGACATAAAGGGTGACTGCAGAGAAGTGGAGGGTAAGTCAGCTCCCTGGAGCCCCCCAGGTGAGCTGGGCCCCAATGCTGCGGGAGCAGTCGAGGGGACTCGCTGACCAGGCAGCCTCTGTTGCTGTGACCTGCTGCAGGTGGCCATCCTTGTCCCCTTCCGGAACCGCCACGAGCACCTCCCGGTCCTGCTCCGACACCTCATTCCCATGCTCCAGCGCCAGCGCCTGCGGTTTGCGTTTTATGTGGTGGAGCAAGTGAGTGGCCCTTTCTTTTCTCTTCTTTCTCTTCCAAGACTACAGTTGAGAGAGCTTCAAGCTGATCTATCCTTGGGGTTAAGAGCCCATAAAACGGAAAACTCACGATTGAGTGGCCCTGTGGGGGCGGGGAGCAGAGGGAGTCCCGCGCTCCTCCGTGGAGATGTTCAGTCCCAGCAGGTCTGAGTGATGCCTGGAACTTCGTTTACCCTTCAACAAAGGCCTCTTGTGGGCTGGTTTAGCTGGAACCACTTTGGGTATTGTCTTTACATTTCAGACCCAGGAAATGCCCGTGAGATAAGGGGCTGCAGGTAGAAATAGCCGTGTGGTTCTTCCTTCTGTGTAGGGAGTTGGGTACCCTTCTAAATGCCGTTACACAGCTCACTGTCTGCCTTCAAGTGGCCTTGGGAGAGAGAGGCTTAGGTTTATCCTTATCACCCTTTTTTATTCCTGAGGAAGTTGAGGCCAGAGGTCAAGTGATGGTGAGTCAGTGATGAACCAGGCAGGACCCACCTCCCTTCCGGCCCAGTGTTCTCTCAATAAGCTCTCCTTTAGGTAGGGCTGAGGCAGCAAAGATTATTCTTCAAGAGTCCTTTTAAAAATAAAGTTCTGCTTCTTTTAGGTTGGCACCCAACCCTTTAATCGAGCCATGCTTTTTAATGTGGGTTTTCAAGAAGCAATGAAGGACTTGGACTGGGACTGCCTCATTTTTCATGACGTGGATCACATACCAGAAAGTGATCGTAACTATTATGGATGTGGACAGATGCCAAGGCACTTTGCGACTAAACTGGATAAGTATATGTATCTGTGAGTATCATTTCCTTTTAATTAAAGAGGTTAAATTTAGAAGGATGATGAAAGATGGAAGGATGACCAAATCAAATTAGCTCCAACGTGAATCGCAATCTACTGATGAATGGATAAACGAAATGCAGTGCCTGCATCCATACGATGGAATGCTATTTCACAATAAGAAGAAATGAAGTACTGATATATGTGACAGCCTGGATGGAACTAGAAAACGTTATGCCCAGTGCAAGAAAACTAGCTACAAAAGACTGGGTATTATTTGTTTGTATAAAATGTTTATACAATAAACATTTATTTTTATAAATAAAATAATGTTTATAAAATATTCTGTTTGTATGAAATGTCCAGAATAGGCAGATCTGTAGAGACAGAAGGAAGAATAGTGGTTGCATAGGGTTAAGGGGAGTAGGGAGAAATGAGTGACTGACTGCTGATGATGGGGACAAGGCTTCTTGGGGGGTGGGGGTGATGAAATTGATTAACACTGATTGTGGCCATGGTTGCAAATCTCCATGAATATATTAAAAAACAAACCCATTGAATTATACACCTTAAATAAACAAATTAGGGACTTCTCTGGTGGTCCAGTGGCTGACTCCTTGCCTCCAATGTGGGGGACCGAGGTTTGATCCCTGGTCAGGAGACTAGATCCCACATACTTCAACAAAGATCAAAGACCCCACCTGCCACACTCAGACCAAACCAATCAATAAATAAATGGGTAAGTTATATGGTATGTCAGTTCTGTCTCAATAAAGCTGTGATTTAAAAAAAAATCAATTAGAAAAGAAATTTAATTAGTTACTCAGGTTGATGCATTTGGCCTGAGGAAACCACTTCAGGTGGTTCGGGGCAGTAGCTCAGAGAGTATTTTACTTAAGACTTAGTTCTCCCATGAGATGGCCTGTTCTAGGGGGAAAAAAGAGAACACCCTTTCATGCACAGATGATTGATGCCATACATCTCCTTTTAGGCTTCCTTATACTGAGTTCTTTGGCGGAGTGAGCGGCTTAACAGTGGAACAGTTTCGGAAGATCAACGGCTTTCCTAACGCGTTCTGGGGGTGGGGTGGAGAAGATGACGACCTGTGGAACAGGTATTGCCCTTCTTCTGATGTCTTCTAGGAATGCTCCCTTAGGAGCTCTCCAGACCTTAGGCCTCTCCAGACCTTAGGCTCTCCAGGCCAGCACTGTCTAGGGAATATGACGCATTAAGCCATGTATTTAATTTTCAGTGTTCTAGTAGCTCCATTTAGAAAGATTTTAAAAAGGAAAAAGTGAAATTAATTTATTATATCAATAAAAATATTTTAACAATTATACTTACTGCAATATATCCAAAATAATACCATTTCAACATGCAATCCATATAAAATTTCTTTTAATATAAAATATTAATGAGATATTCTACATTCATTTTTTTCTTACTAAATCTTAGAAATCTGGTGTGTACTTTACACGCATAGCCCATTGCACTGAAACCTCCCCAAACCAGAGGTCAGATATGAGTTATATTTACACAGATTTATCCATGCCATCAGGTAAGGCTCATATTTTAAGTTTGTAGGAACAATCTCATGTATGAGTAGTGTCAAATAGTATTTTTGTACTATTTGTAAATAGTAAGTAAATGGTAGGGGCTTCCCTGTTGGCTCAGCAGTAAAGAATCCGCCTGCCAGTGCAGGAGATGCTAGTTTGATCCCTGGGTCGGGAAGATCTCCTAGAGAAGGAAAAGGCAACCCACTCCAGTGTTCTTGCCTGGGAAATCCCGTAAACAGAGGAGGAGGCTGACGGGCTAAAGTCCATGGGGTCACAAAGAGTTGGACACAACTGAGCAACTAAACAGCAGCCCTATGGCAACTAAACTATGCCATTTTTACATAAGGGACTTGGGCATCCTTGGATTTTAGGAACGGCAAGGCGGGTGCTGGAACCAGTTCCCCCACCTGGAGACTGAGGAACAACTATATATAATAATGAGAGTATAAGTTGGATTCAGAGGAGGCTGGTAAAAATTCAGATAATACAGAAGTATATAAATAAAGTATATAAATACAGAAGTATATAAGTAAAATTCTTTACTGGTGGCTCAGCAGTAAAGAATCCACCTGCAGTGCAGGAGTTGAAGGAAACACAGGCTTGATCCCTGGGTCAGGAAGATCCCCTGGAGGAGGGCATGGCGACCCACTCCATGGACAGAGGAGCTTAGCGGGCTACAGTCCATAGGGTCACCAAGAATTGGACACAACTGAAGTGACTTAGCATGCACGCATGCATGTAAACAAAAGAGTGTAACTCCTAATCCCCATTGTTATCCTGTTTCCTTCCTAGGAAGTAGCCATTTGAACAAGCAGTTTCTTTCTTTATAGTTCTTTCTATTCATACATAAACAACCCAGACACATCCCTTTTCCCCTTCCAATCATGTCAATACAGAGAGCCATTTCATTATTATTACAATTATGTGGTATTTCCTTGTGTAGACAGCAGTTTATTTTTAATCCTCTCCTATTGATGAACAGTGGTGTTTAATTTTGAGCATCTTTTGTTCACATGTGCAAATATTTCTGTAGGTTAATTTCCTGGTTGCAGAACTGCAGAGTCAAGAAGTAAATGCACTTTTAAAATTTTGATAGTTATTGTCTGATTTTCCTCCAGAAAAGATTGCAAAAGTATTGTGACCAACAGTACATAAGCGTACAAATTTTCTTACTGCACCACCCGCTTTTGGATATAAATGACCATTGAAATTTGTGCCCCATTTCAGCACAGCAGCTCCTGGACAATTCTTTCTCAGTCTGTTAGGTAAAAATGGTATCTCATCCTTTTAATTTGGGTTTCTTAGGAACCTAGTGAGGATGAGCAGCTTTTCCGTACTGGTTTGACTGGTTTCTGAATCTAGTTGGGCTCCCCTAGGACATCTGTTCTGCCAGCTCATCTTGTTCTTTCCCCAGCTCAGCAAGGAGTCCCTCAGGCCAGGAATGTGTGACTGGCTTTCCCCAGCACCCCCACACAGTTACAGGCACACAGTAGGCATTTCATACGTATTGATCAAATGAGAAGGAGAACACACTTCACCCTGTCAGCCCTCCAAAGCTGCGGGTTCTGAATTTGAGGATTCAACCAACTGTGGATGGAGGGCGGGGGGGAGATTCCAAAAAGTTCCAAAAATCAAAACTTGGATTTGTTCCCTGCAAGCAACTATTTACATAGCATTGACGCTAGGGATGATTTAAGGTCTGCTGGAGGATGTGTGTGGGTTATATGCAGATACTATGCCATTTTGGGCTTCCCAGGTGGCTCAGAGGGTAAAGAATCCACCTGCCAGTGCAGGAGACATAAGAGACACAGGTTCGATCCCTGGGTCAGGAAGATCCCCTGGAAAAGGAAATGGCAACCCACTCCAGTACTCTTGCCTGGGAAATTCTGTGGACAGAGGAGCCTGGGGGTTACAGTCCACAGGGTCACAAACGAGTCAGATATGACTTAGCAACTAAACAACAAACACGCTGACCCAGAGGGGGCATGTGTGCACCTGTTTGCAGAGGGGACTCACATGGTTGTACCTGTCGCTGAGACCCCGTGTCAAACCTTGGGAATTTTTAATTTCTCTTCTCCTTCAAAACTTCGTATTGTAGACTTATTTTCTAAAACCATGAACTTACCCAGAAGGAAAATGACTTGAATATATAGATGTAAAAAAAGCACTGTTGTTCAATTTGGCATTCTTCAGCCTTGTGACAGGTTTGGTCTCACCTGTCAGACTTGATCATTTTACCCAAAAGCCCATTTTCTTTGTCTTGGACAGAGTCCAGAACGCAGGCTATTCTGTGAGTCGGCCAGAAGGTGACACAGGGAAGTACAAGTCCATTCCTCATCACCATCGAGGAGAGGTCCAGTTTCTTGGAAGGTTGGTGCAGCTTGTTTGTTCGTTCTTGTTTATTCGTCATACAAAAGTCCTGTATCTCCAGGGTCCTTAAGCACTGCAGTCCCTGGGCTTGCTCCTCACCCTTTCCAAGGTCCTGTTCAGACAGTTGTTTGAGAGTTCCTGTTTATCACTCATTTAAGTGTGAGGCAGGTGTTTGGGGGCAAAGTGATACTACTGGTGAAAAATGTGGTCCTAAGATCTTTTAAGGAAATCACTCCTTCTGCACCTTAAGCTTTGTAGTTGTCTGCGGTGTAGCCTTCAGGGAGTTGGAGAAAAACCCATTCAGGGCAAAGTCCCTGTGTAACTCACGCTCGTGTGACAGAGTCTGGCACCCTCTCTGCTAGCTCGGTTCTGGAAGGGTGTCCCCGAGCCTCTGTTTATGTGGCTGCAGCTGCTTTTTCACCCTGCACACCTTCAATTAAAAAAACTCCAGGTAGGGCTGAGCAGAGCCAGTGGATAGGTCCTCAGGAGGGGCTCTTGCTATTTTGTTAATTGTTGAGAGGACTGCTCACGACAGTCGATCCGACTGCATGAACTCTTTTCCTGGGGAGTAAGGGCACTGAATACAGGCAGAACTTTGTCGTCCCCCCTATTTAACATCTTGCCTCCCGCTTCCCCGCGTCAGTTAGGATTGTGAACCTCGGTCTCCTCGTCTGCCGAGGGGCAGGCGCATCACATGAAGTCCAACAGCCCGCGTGAAATAGGAGGCGTTTCCAGTCCTGATAATGGCACGCGGCCTGGAGGAGCCGCAGGGCTCAGGGCCGGGCGCGAGCGAGGTCTCCCGGGTCGCGCCCCCGCCTGCGGTCCGTGCCACTCGGCCCCGCGCTCAGGGCCGCCCCCTGTGCCCCCTGCCTCACAGGTACGCGCTGCTGAGGAAGTCCAAGGAGCGGCAGGCGGTGGACGGCCTCAACAACTTGAACTACTTCGCGAACGTCACGTACGACGCCTTGTACAAAAACATTACCGTCAACTTGACACCCGAGCTGGCTCAGGTGGCTGAGTACTGAGGAGGGAACAGTCGTCGGCTTCCCCCATCGCCCCCAGGACAGCAGCCCGCCGCCGCGTCTCGTGGGGGGCGCTCCACAGAGGAAGAGAACAGGAAACCCAGCGCCTCCGGAAGGATCACAGGGTTCACGGGAAAAAAAAATGTGAACAGAGCACACGCACAAAAACGCCTTCCCCGCCTGGACCCGCCGGGGTGGAGGGAGGCGGCCGGGAACTGACCTGCCCTTTTCTCAAGACCGCCGTCTGTCCTGCCGCCCTCCACCCCGGCCTCCCGCCCGGCGCCGCCCGTCTCAGCCTCGGGCCTCCGGAACCGGAACCGGAACCGCCCCGGAGCCTCTGCCCCGGCGAGAACGGCATGGGCAGCTTCCTGGCCCCCAGAGCCGAGAGGCAGACCCGCCGCAGGGCAGCTGTGTTTTAGGAAGAGCAAAGAAAACACACAACCATCCTTCCGCATCTCTGGTGTCCCCTCTCTCTCTCTCCCTCTCTCTTTTTTCTAAATTACCTGCTTTGGGTGGGATTGAGGGTGGAGAGGGAGGGCTTGGGAAAGAGAAATAGACATGCAACAATCACTTCTTGAAGAAGTATAATTGTAAATAAGCCATGTAGAATGCCCCTTTTTTTTTTTTTTAATTTAATTTTCTGGCCGGCTCCAATTCAAACCGAGGGTTTATACATCAGATCCTGTATTGGTTTGGCAGACACAGGAACTCGGCTAAAAGGGAACGACAGCATCTCCCCGGTCGCTGTCATTGTGGAAGGGAGTGGATATATAGCATGTCACAGCAGAACAAAACAGCCCAGTCATTATCGCCAGTGGCCAACTTCTGCCTCACCTCCCGTCCCCTTTTCCAAAAGCGTTGCTCTTGACTTTGGCTTTGGTTCTCTCTTCCCTGCTGGGCAATCCTCCCGGGTCCCAGCCTTGCGCTGAACAGGAAGCTGTGTTAGAACAGTGCTGTCCTGCTCGACGCCAGCCTGTCAGGTGGGCCCACTGCACACCGCTGGATTGCTCACCTTGGGGTCTCTTCCTTTCCTCGTCATCAGGAGAGAGTGGGGGGTGTTGGTTTTTCCTACTTTCTCTCTCTGTTTCTCTTTCTTTCGCTTGCTCTTGTGGACCGTGGCCACAGTTTCTGAAATCTGTGCCTAAATTACCAACCAGCTTCAACAATTCCTCTGAATATTCCCCTTTTTGGTTTCTGGAAATTTTTTTTTTTTTTTTTGGTCAACATTATTAACTAGTAATGGGTTGGCCAAAAAGCTCACTCGGGTCATTCTGTACCATCGTATGGGAAAGCCCAAATGAATTTCTTGGCCAGCCCAATACATTGAATCATGAGCAACTGAATGATGTGGAACTTAGCCAGGGAGCAGGTGACACTTGTGTGCTGTGGGTCAACTGGGATCCAGGCTAGACCAAATCAGAGCTTTGGGATTAGATTAACAAAGCTGCCGGACAGACAGACACAGGAGCCCAAGTGCTCCTTTCACACCCCCATGTCTTTTTTGAAGTCAGATTCTAAATTGCATTTGAATTTGTGCCTCTCTGTTTCCCCCTGAGCCAAATCCCTCACCTCATAGCCCCTTTGGCTCCTGCAGAATTCTGAGAAATACCAGGTTTCCCCCGTCCTTTTCCATAAAACATATTTATGTATCCATACTAAAGAGTACTTTCTGAGGAGTACTTCATAGTTTTTGTTTAAATTGCCTTGTTTGCCTTCAGTTTCCTTAATTTTCATGGTTTACATGGATGTGTGTGTAGGGGATATATTTGTGTATATACACGTGGGTTGGGGTTTTTGCATGTGTGGGTTCCATGGACGTATGATCCCCACAAGCTGTGGGAGTGATTGGCCAGGCCTTGTTTTTTTGTGTGTGTGTTTTTGTTCTTTCGAAGACGAGAATGCTATTTAGAAAAGAAATCTCATTGCAAAGCTCTTACCAGCTCATATGAGAGAGCAGATTCCTGCCCTTGAGCACGCTGGTAAGTTCTTATCATAATGTTTTAAAAGAGTTTTGAGCATTTCATGCTTTAAAAAACCTTCACAAGGAACATGACACACGAAGTTCTCTTGGTTTTCCTTTGACGTATGGTGCATAAAGCAATAAAAATTTCTTTCCCCCTTCCTCCATGCGCCTCCAGGCCTCTGTGCTGGCCTGGCCTGTTCTTTCTCTGAGAGCTGTGAGCTGCTTTCAGTGTGACAAAATTACGATGTCCTTTGGAAGAATTTGCCAGGGCAGACTGATCATTGGTCAGGGATGGCCCGTGTTTGAAGCCTTTCATTAGCATATTTGCCATCAAGAACAAATGCTGGCAGAAAGCTAACAACACCTGATTTGACAAAGAAAATGCTGGCTTGCAGACAAAAGGAAGTCTTTCCAGGGCTGGAAGTTGGGTGACTTAAATCATCTTGCAATCATGTGTGAGTTTGTTTTATCCGTGTGAAATCTCTTTAACTGTGCACTGTTAATCATTTATCCACTAAACTGAGTGGGGAAACGTAAAAGCAAAAAAGAAAAAATCACAGCCAGTCCCGTGTGCTGTTGGTAGCGTGAAATTACCATGTTAAAAAAAAAAAAAGAACCAAATGTGACCTTGCGCATATTTTGGCAGCTGAAATTCCTTAAGGCTACCAAATGGATGACCGCTTAAATCAGCCTTGTCTCTTGATTGCAGCGTGCAAGGAAAAGTTTTCTTTCACGCTGATTCTTTTGGGGGAGAGGGAGTGTCCACAAAGCTATTCATTTTGGCAACACAGGGCCCCCCGTGAGAGCCGCTCCACCACAGACCCCAGTAGCTGCACGACAGCCACGCGGACTGATGGTCTCCACTCACCAATGAGGATGACATTGAACTAGCTTATTTCCATCACTACGATTTTTTGAGCTTGCTCTTATGTTTTAAGAGGTGCCAGGGGTACATTTTTGCACTGAAATCTAAAGATGTTTTAAAAAACACTTTTCACAAAAATATAGTCCTTTGTCATTACATTATTTACTCATGTGTTTGTACATTTTTGTATGTTAATTTATGAATGATTTTTTCAGTAAAAAATACATATTCAAGAACCAAACCTTGGTGGTCGTCTCTCTTTGTCTGGGACAGTTTGGCTTCTTAAAGTCTTGGCTTCTGCTTTAGCCGGGCTGACCTCAAGGTGGTCCTGAGAGAAATACTGCCAAATTGAGCCCTGCAGTCATGCTGCTTGAGTGAGAAATGCTGCTGATGTAACCAAAACATTGAACCCCCTGTGCTTGGGGCATCCACCCACACTTGGGTCTTCATTCAAGAACTGGCCCAGGAAGGGAATTCCCTGGTTAGGATTTCATGTTTCCACTGAAGGGGCCACAGGTCCAATCCCTGGTTGCAGAGCTAATATCCTGCATGCCAAGTGACCACAACAGCAAAAGATTTAAAAGGGGGCTTCCCAGGAGGCCTGAGCTTCCCTGGTGGCTCAGATGGTAAAGAATTGCCTGCAATGCGGGAGACCTGGGTTTGATCCCTGGGTCGGGAAGATCTCTTGGAGAAGGGAATGGCAACCCACTCCTGTATTCTTGCCTGCAGAATCCCACAGACAGAGGAGTCTGTGGGCTCGCAAAGAGTCAGACACAACTGAGCAACTTAACGCTTTTATTTTCCCTGGCAATCTAGTGGTTGACTCCACACTTCCACTGCAGGGGGCACAGGTTTGATCCCTGGTCAGGAAACTAAAATCCCATGTGCCCAGACGTGTGGCAAAAAAAAAAAAAAATTAGGAATTGGCCCAGGTAATGCCCATCAAGTCAAATCAGACCCCTAGACAAGGGATGGGTGAGGGTTGACCGACTTTGCCTCCAGAAGGTCCTCTGGGGCCAGTCCAGAGTTTGCTGTCTGCCTGTGTATACTTGGGGGTTATAATCATAGCTTCTTTTTGTTGAAGGTTTACCGCTGACTAACACTCTGTGGAAAGTTCTGTGTCCAGGTCCTGGGGATATAACGATTAGCAAACTAATAGGTCAGTGGCCTCATAAAGCTTAACTGTCCTTTTCTCCTCCTGCACTCCTGATGGAAGGTAGGATTTAAATGACAACCACAGTAAGTGCCATAACGGAGGTAAAAACAGACCATGAGTGCCTGGTAGGGAAGGCATCCCTGAAGTGCAGCGGGTGAGCTGAAGCGAGGTGAACAGGGGACCCCCGTGAGGAGAGGGCAGAGAGAGCAAAGGGCACAGTGGGCAGTGTTGGGCTGGGGCAATGGACAGGGCCAGACTGCGTGCAGGCCCTGTGAGCCAAGGTAAAGCATTTGGGTTTGATCTTTAGAGCAGTGGGTTCAAGCATTTCCAGTAAGCAAAGCTGTGTGATGTAAAGTGAAAAAACCAGTGAAAAGTGTTAGTCACTCAGTCGTGTCAGACTCGGCAACTGTAGCCCACCAGGGTCTTCTGTCCATGAGATGTCCCAGGCCAAGAATACCTGAGTGAGTAGACATTTCCTTCTCCAGTGGGTCTAGCCCACCCAGGGATTGAACCCACATCTCCTGCATTGCAGGCAGATTCTTTACCATCTGATCCACCAGGGAAGCTGGTGTGATGTAAGTAGAGGGTAATTTAAACAGATGTCTGGCAGCAGAAAGAATGGCGTATTATAGAGAAACAAAGGAGACGTAAGGCGACCAGACAGGAGAATGCTATCCTGGTGGGGGTGGGATTTGTGGGATGGAAGGATGCTGACGTCATCCAGGATCCAGGCATGCATTGCTGTTGGGGTGGAGGAATCCACTACTGGCTTCCCCACTTGTATGGATGGCAGGGCCATTTTCACGAGACAAGGGCACTGGAATTGGACCAGGTTCATGATGAAGATCATGAGATCAGTCACAAGTGTGTTGACTTCAGGGAGTTTTGAGAAAACCAAATCGAAACAGCTAACAGGCTGTTTAACATTTGCTGGTTTGGGTGGCTCAAAGGAATGGTCAGGACCACGGTTGCATTTGTGAGTCTCTGGACTAGGAGATTGGAGAAGGCAATGGCACCCCACTCCAGTACTCTTGCCTGGAAACTCCCATGGGCCGAGGAGCCTGGTAGGCTGCAGTCCATGGGGTCGCACAGAGTCGGACACAACCGAAGTGACGCAGCAGCAGCAGCAGCAGCAGCAGCAGCAGCAGGACTAGGAGATAAGTGAAGATCCTGGCAGGTTACCCTCCATGGGGCTGCAGAGTCAGTCACTACTGAGCACGCACGCAAGGAGTGGGTGAGATTGCTGAGTGAAGGAGTAGAACAGGATGGACAGAGGGAGAATAGTGTGGCCTTGACCTAGGCCTCTGAGATCTCCATTAATAACAGTTGGAAAGAGATTGAATGAGCAAGGGAGACAGGAAGAGTGGTAGGAGGAAAACAGGAGTGGCTAGGACAGGAAGGTCAAGGGAGGTGTTCAACGCAGTGGTCAACAGCATTGCATGCAGCAAAGAAGTGAAGCAAGATGAGGCGTGAAGAGTAATGATTCTTAGTGGGGAGGATGCTGGTCTAGGCCAGAGCCAATTTGCTGAAGCGAGTCTGCGAGGGACACCACCCTGGAGAAGACCAAGAAAGGAGGAAAAGGAGTAGCAGCAAATGCAGGCATTTCTTGAATTTCATGTACGGAGGTGAAAAAAGAAAGATGGGCCTGGAGGAAGTGTGTGAGGCTCAGGGCAGGCTTTGATTTTCCAAGAGAAACTTGAGTGTGTCTTTGAACCCTAGGGGGATGCCCGCCTAAGAAAGATAGCTGAATATACATGAGACAGAGAATAATTCAGCAGGGATGCTCCTGAACTAGTAGCAGGTGAGTGAGACCAAAGCAAAAACCCAAATCAGGAGGAATTAGAAGTCCTTCCGAGCCATCTCCAATAAGCAAACCCCCTGTGAAGGCCTGTGTTGCTGTTAGCAAGGATCCAGGATCCCGTCCAGTTCATCACCAGAATCAGAA